TTTATTTTAGTATAACTAAAGAAAAAAAATTCACTTGTTGTCGTATACTTCTATCTTCTCATTGTTATTTAGGACTGCATATGTGCATCGTGTGCGGACGGCCTCGATATTGCCTGAAATCACAAGCTTTATAAGAAAAGATGAATAGTGACTAACAGTGGAATGCATTGCAAAAGCAGGTGGCTACCTGGACACAGTAGGTAAGTGGATAACGTGATGGCGTTTAAAGCGAACAATACTTGGTTTGAGTCCCAGAGTGAACATCAACTCTGAGATGTAGGTACATCTTGCTGACGGTTCCCAAATAGGACGAGATGTGCGTCCTGAATTCCACTGCTGGCCACTATCCATCTGAAGAAAAAATGTTATGAATATTATATATTTAAGAAATAATAAAATTTAGATAATAATTTCATAATGTTGTTTATACATATAAATGTATTTGTATATATGAAATGAATTGCATTAAATTAACACTTAACTTTCATAACTCTAAATTAAATGCCAATAGACTAATAATAATGATTATCAGTTTATCGAAATTAATTAAATGTAGAAAACAGTTTTGTTTTCAAGTAAAATGATAAGAAATTGATAAGAAAAATATCAGATTTTCCCATGAATTAAGTAATTTGATTTTAGTATAATGTCTATGTTTTATTTTGACGCCATTTTAAAGAGGTGAATGTTATTTAGCATTTACAATTATATGTTTTGGGTGGTGGATGGTAATCAATAGGTAACTCTGGATAATTGTTTTGTGGTAGTTGAGATTTTCTTAGTAAGGAGTTTCTGTTTTCAATAGTAACTGATAATATCTTGTGAAAGCGAATTGGTATCTTACAGTTTTTAAGTCTTAGACGTTAGTATTAAGTTATTCAGTTCGCTATGGGCATTGAATATGTATGATATATTTACAATTGACCGACGGCTAAAAAGTAACTGTTTTCACTTAGACTAGTGATTAAACAGTGTTGTCACTAAAATTACATCGTTAATTATGGATTAGACGAACACAATACTAGTCACTTCTTAGAGATAAATCAGATGTATGTAACTATAAGTAATTAATGGTAGCAAGTGTTTTATACTTTACAATGTAATTGAAAATGAACACATGGATAGTATGTTCTCGTTTTCACTTTAGACATCGTTTAGATTTTAGAGATGCATTCAGTTTGAATGATGATACCAGTAACCCGTCTGCAAGGTTCTACATGTGTCAGCATATTTATTAAATATATATTTACATCATTTCTATCAAATAAAAACGTAGTATTTTGTATTGACATCGTAACTGTAATCAAATGGATTTTGTTAGTTTCTGTAAATGTTTTTATTAATCTGAATTCCATGTAATATCAAATTTAAACTGATTGACATCCAGTTTTATTTCAGAATAATTTTTTCACTGTGATATAAGGAAAACCAACTCATTTATTAGTCACGCGTTAATATTTATTTTTCAAGCTGGCGGGATTTCAGTTTATTTAACATTTCTGTTTCACGAAGTAAATAATTAATGTTCGCATTTTGTTTACAACAAAAAATCACTCTATTAAATGTATTTGTCTAGTGGAGAAGATTTGTAGCTCTGGTGGATGATTTTGATGAAGTTTTGTACTCTGAGCTGAATGGTTTGGTTGTGGAGCTTTCATCGTCCTTCTGAACGACATCATCAGCACTTCCACCCGAAGTTTCTGCTGATGATGTCGTTTAGAAGAATGATGAAAGCTCCACAACCAAACCATTCAGCTCAGAGTACAAAACTCTATCAAAAGTATTTGCCTACTGACAAGATAGAAATTGTGATTATATAGTTGAAGCATAATACTGTCTATGGCATTTTTATTGACGTAATCTAGTCAAGACGATACTAGATATATTATACAAATTGAATATAATTTGTAGTATCCTTTCTCTTCGAAATAAATATTTACTACTTAAACATTTAATTGAATTAAAAATCTTTGTCATATTGAATTATAATGAAGATTTATTATTGTAATAATTTCCAAACAGCTTGTTTAATAATAAAATCCATTCCAATAAAACATGGATGTTTCACACAGTTCTGCGACTGTATTCAACTACTTATATTAGTAATAACTTGAAAAAATGTCTATTTTCTGTAAAGCTACCTTATCATATACGTAGGTAAAAAGTTTATCAGAATGCTGTTTCTTCAATCCTACTATGATAAATAAAATTACTAGTTATAACTTCATTTACTTTCAATTTATTGTCGCTAAAATAAACTGACCAAACGTATGACCAAAACTATGAATGAGTTTACTATATTTGACAAATAACTCTTTCACTTATGATATATAATGGTGTTTAATTATTAAACTATACTTCACTTTCTATTCATCAAAACGTATAAAATGTGATACAGTAGAAAATCGTTATTTAGTTTTGTATATTTAACCAGTTATTATGTTCGTTTACAAACTGGAACATTAGTTGAAAATTCACTATTTTGAGGGGGGAGGGTTAATTATTGAACCGATTTGATCAATCTCAATTATAATTAGTAAATTAAGTCTTTGTCGAACATGAATTTCCTAACGAAAATTCAACTATATACATACAGACAAAAAAGGTAACTAAAGTGATTTTATGTTAGTATTACAATTTTTTCTCAAATATTTTGTTGCTACTTTGGAAACTATTGAAATCTATTTGTGCAGTTGTAGGTTTTAGATGTAATTTACGTAAAAAAAAGTACTGTCTAAAAGTGTTCTTCCTCACTGATAATTTGACTAATTATGTATTTAGTAATTTATTTCAATTGCCTGGTTTACCAAACTGTTATTTCATGATAATAATAATAATAATAATAATAATAATAATAATAATCATTGCAGCAATCCTAATTCAGCTGAAAGATAAAATACCTGAATAATATTTTTTTATTTATTTCACTTAGATTCAAGCAGGCATAACTTTGTATTAAATTAAAAGAAAGTTATTATTCAATGTTTTTTTATGTGTATTGAATCTTTTGAAGCATAAAACTAATGATACCTAGAAACTTTCTCTTTTGATTGATTTATTATGAAAATCGAAGAAAATCAACTAAATAGGTAAATTACAGATGAAATAGTAGTACTGTGTTTGTTAACTGCATTAGATCAAATGAGAAAATATTCACTATCGATCGGAAAATGAATTATTAGAAATAAATGAAGTTTTAAATTGTTGGACTGACTTATTATTGAAAAATAAATAAATGGATATCTCATTTTGAACTTAAAAAATATTTCATTTTAAGCATAAATGGATGGTGGCCAGTATGGGGATCATGGATGTGCGTTTCGTCCTATTTGAGACTCATCAGCTGGATGTACCTGCATCTCAGAGTTGATAATCACTGCGTTATTAGAACCCAGTACCGTTCGCTTCAAACACCATCATGTTATCCACTCAGCTACTGAGTCCTGACAGCTACTTGCTTCTACAATAGGGTTAAGTTTAAATTCATTCAGCACTGTCTCGTTGAATCTTCTCATTGATGTTAAGGACTGAAATTGTTACTCGGAACCCCTTTTACATATACTTCTACTGTTTTTCTTCATATGAAACATTCCTCTTTATATTCATTTAGTATTGTTTGTTTGAATCTTCGAGTTCCAGAGTGAACATCAAATCTGGGATGCTGGTACATGCAGATGACAAGTTCCAAATAGAATAAAGCATGTGTCTTGAACTTCACTACTAGCCACTATCCTTCTCTGCTTATAATGCTTGTAACTTAAGGCAATATTAAGGCATACTGCGCAGGATATGCATATGCAAATAGAGAATGATCAATTGGGGTTCCAAACATCAATGGGAAGATTCGAGTAAACAACACCAAGTAAATTTAAACTTAACCTCACTGCACAAGCAGGCGGATACCAGGACTCAGTAGCTAAGTGGATAACGTGATGGCGTTTGAAGCGAACGGTACTAGGTTCGAATCCAGGGGTGAATATAAACTCTGAGATATAAGCACATCCGAATGACGAGTCTCAAATAGAACGAAACGTGAGTCCTTTATATCACTTCTAGTCAGCATCATGCACTAAGACATTGTTTAACTTTATTATTCGAAAAATTGTGTTTGCAATGCAACCATAAATGAAGCATAAAATAATTCAGTGAAATAATTTTTTCTTTGACAGAGCCATGAGAATAGGGTGCATACTTTCTGTCTGATGTTTTCGAAATGCCAGTGATCACCATTGAAATCATTAGAGAAAGTCCCATGAAATCAGTTACTGTGAGTAGGCGATTTTACCATTCGTCCTTCTGTAAATTTTAAGATGTATTACTGTTTCCTAATGCTCATTATTCTATTGCATTCATCTTCCCTCTTTCTATAATCTCAGGAATTTTTCGACTTTAACCTAATAAACTATTCTTTGTGTGCACTGATATAGTCTGTGACAATTTAGATCGACACTCATATGCCCCTATGCAAATTTCCGTCGTACACTGTTTGTGAAAGACTCAGCTTATTACCACACAAATCAATTAAACGACAAATAATATTGTTTATATTCTTAAGTACGTAAACGTAGGGCAGTATACCAAAATTCAAACTTCAAAAAATTATCCATACTGATTAAGGTGATGATATTTATCGGCGTGAAAACTGTTATAATTATTAATATTTCAATGTTAGCTATTGAATAGCAGACTGATTACTACTTCTCATAGGAAATATAGAAATTGATCAATCCAGTTGCATTACAATACAATCTAGAGAAGTATGAAGAATGATCGTAAGGCTAATTTCGCTAGCAATGACACACCTTATATGATACATGTAAAATTAAGTTTTCGTTGCAAACTGTAACAATAAAAACATGAATCTTAATTTCAGGTTAACTTTTAAATCGTTTACAAGTACAAAGACTGTGAATATATCAATAACTGAACACCTAAACCATGCCAAGAGTTGTATATTTTAAAGTAAACATAAGATTTAAGTCACATATATTTTTACTTACTTTACTAAATCGTTATTAATATCATTAGAAAATGTACGATTATATGAAATATTTGGTGAAGGTTGACAAGATAATGATAACTGTGGCCGATAAGCTGGTTTATAAAATGAATTTTTTTGTAGTGTATAAAATGGAATACAATTATTTTGTGACAGAATTATATAAGCTGACTGATCAATGTTTTTACTATTACCAACATTAGTAGAAATAATATTCCCACTTTGTTTTGTGCAAGATGGTATAGTTACATTTGTAGCAGAATTTGTGTTATAATTAGAAATAGTGGATAAATTTATCTTTCCGTTTGAAGTAACGTTTGAACTAAAAGATGTTTTTACTACAGTTTTACTTGAAGGCACTGATGAATTGGGATTTAATTCATGTATTACTTTTGTAACTGAATATACTGGTGATGTGTTTAGTAGTTTATCAGGGCATATATTTGAGTGTATAGTATATGTTGTGATTGGACAGACATTACCGTTGCCTTGTATATCACCTTGATTAGTTTCACCCATTGAAATCGCTTTTTCTGAAATGATATCATTTGTGGTATAATGTTTGCTCATATTTTAGTTTATTTATCAATCTGATTAAAACATTTATACAGAAGATATAAAGTAAAGATATTTATAGTATACAGATATATATAATTCCAAATTCTTTTCAATCACCTTAAATATAGTACAGTAATAACTGTTTCCTGAAACTGTACTAGTCTACTTTTAATTTACACTACATAATAATGTTCCAATAAGTAAACTTTAAAAATAACCAATCAGAATTGTGTCATGAAAGTTACAGATTTATACGATTACGAATTAAAAAAGCTCTTCAATACAGATTGGCAGAGACTAAAATTTACAATAATAATAATATCACTTCTATTTAGTTTATTCTTAAAAATGTGTTCTGAATGAGAAATGCGCTATAAGTCTTTTGTTTGTTTTTTTGTAAAAGTTTCATGAAGCACTCCATGATGCCACTACTTTTGTTCGTCGTAACGAATAACACTTGTATACAAGTATGAAAAAATTCACTGGTGAAAATTAGTGAGGATGTTTTTTGTAAATTTTCAGGCTGTCCCTCGTATGAATCTATCTATTAAAACGAAATGATGTATCATCAGTTTCGAAACATAATTGACATGACAAATCCGGATATTTTCAGGAAACATGTTATTTATGACCATAGCATCTAGACTTATTCGTACTTGATATACAAATCTAATTTTAGCTAAACTCATCTGTTTAGAAAAATTGAAAATTTTGCGCACTGAAAGTAAGCATTTCTCATAACATCCATGTGGAATGGCATGACTGCTCGCTGATTACGAATTCCAATTATAACACGTTCATTAGTGTTCATCCAGTTCTACTTGCCTTAAATTGCACTATTTCTGGAATTTTTAGTTAGTACATTAATTTGAATACTTTTTATGGTCATAAATAGCCAAACATTAATGTTGAGCTAACGATGGTGATAAATTCTTACCATAAATAAATTGTATTTCACTCTAACTTACTTGGTAACTAATGTGACAGAATATTTTTAGAGGAGAATCAATGCATGTGCGTTTTTTCATCTAGCAGGTTGAAAATTTTCAATTTTTCCAAGAAAAAAGTTTCAAATAAACTAATGTAACTAATAAAAATCATCAATGAATTTATAAGGAATAACTTGACGAAATGTATGAAAATCTTCTTATGATTTATATGATACCAATAAATCCTCTTACTTTATGATTTCACATATTACTGTGTTACTTACGCCTATTACTCTCAACAGAGCATAAGCCGCCAACCAGCATTCTCTAAGCCACTCTGTTCTGGGCCTTCCTTTCTAGTTCTATCCTATTTTTGTTCATTTTCCTCATATCTGTCTCCATTTCTCGACGTAATGTGTTATTTGACCTCCCTTTTTTCCTTTGCCCTTCAGGATTCCAATTTCACATAATTCGATCATATTAAAGTCTTTCCAAAAAGAGATTTACTTCAATTAGAATAATGTCGTTGTGAGTTATGGACAGTTCAGTTAGTTATTATGTAATGAGTACAGATTATGTTAGCAGTTGTGTAAGTTTTATTATTTTACTGCCGTGTTCACCTTCTAGGTTAGTTGATAAATAATTGATAATAGTATGAATTATCATTTAATATGAGCTGATTTGTTCTAAAGAAAATTAAAATTGATTACATCCTTACGTTATTAGCATTCTTCATTTTGTCTTCTTTAGCTAATGATGGTAATCAAATCATTATGTCAGAATGAAGAAAATGAAAGAGGACAGTATCAAAATCTGTACATTTGTATCAATTCATATTTCATCAGAATGAGAGGTAAAATCATCTATAGAAACGTGAATGGGTATTAAGCACTTTTTGAACATTATCATAATATACACGTACTGACATAGTAAATGTCAACTGTAAAACAAATGAACATATATAACTATAAAACACAAGTATGTATAATGGATTTATTTTTATCCTACCTATAAGTGAAATAAGGCCCTTTGTTTTTAAAGACTGATATAATTTGTCTAACTATTTACGTATACATTTTAAATAACAAATAAAAATGGAAACATTGTATTTAATAAAGATTATGTAATAAGGAATTTACCTCTGAATTTTCTTATGATTTCAGCAAACCGATTACTATTTATTTGTTTGAACACATAAATATTAGTACAAAGGGGGCACCAGAAATGTATGTCCAATACAAAAAAATTGTCATTTCATTTAATTGTATGAGGGCTAGGATACTGCCCGGGTGCCCAGACCGAAGCAGGTAATTTTCTTAAGAGGTCACATCCGGAGCCTTTGAACTAAAGACCTGATCCATAAGGCAATGGAGCATCATAAGGAGATGTAGCCGGTGACCGACGATCGGTTCATACGCCATTTGTTCTCTCAGAATACTGGAGCCCATGTGCACCATTTGTATGGAATCAGGGTTTTCCGACTCCCCTAGGTGGACTTTCTGTGTCCACCAACCCAGTTAATGCGACAAACATTCGGTTTCCGTCTTTTCAACACAACACTCCCGCCACGAGAAGGCAGTGAGTAGGACTTCTCTGGCAGAGGCTATATACACATGGCTGTGTGAGAGCATTTCGGCGTACCAGGGCATTTGAGGGCAAAACGATTGAAACCGACTACTATGAATTATTTAAAACAAATATGAATTACAGAAGACAAATACACAGATTGTAATGTATCCCTGATTTATTATATATTTGAAATCTACTGATAATTTCTTTAAAATCTTTGTAAACCTTACCAATACTTATTATTACTGACTGGAGATTGTTTATTGGATTTTAATCTGTTTCTATTATAATTCGTTGCCTTGGTATTCACAATAAGCATTATTATTAATGCAAACTTGAATTCATAATATATATTTGAATATTAAATGTATTAACAATAAGACTCTTAATACAAATCATTTTAAAGACAGATATAATGTATGCTAAAAATACTCGATAAATGAGTTCTAAAATTAATTTAGTTTATAAATTTCACGAATGTTGTAGAATGGATTTTAGTTAACAGCAGCGTGTTAAACTGCTTATATTGAACAAAACAGTTTGTAGTTTGATGGTTGAGTTCGTGAGTCAATTAAAGCTAGACTGCTATAGAAAACCTAAGAGTACTGAACGACCGCTTCGTCCTAGTATGTAACTCCTCAGCAATGTACATCCATGATCCCGTCCGCGGGATTCGAAACCAGGATCTTCGAGGATTGGTTGGTGTTAGACATCGGGTCAGTTGTCCAGAGGTTAAGCTTTCACGTGCGTTTGAATCGAATCTCGCGGAGCAAGAATATAGATTCGTACTGCGGAGGAGTCCGATACTAGGACGAAACGACCGTCCAGTGCTTCCAGGTTTTCTGTAGTGGTTTAGCTTTACTTGACTCATGAACTCAACTATTAAATTACTACAATTTACACAAAAAAAACCCTTCTGATAAAACAGTTTTTAGATCAGAGTGGGTTTTGTGGAGAATTCGGTATTTTCACTGTTGAAATCATGAGTCAATTGAAGCTAGACCACCATGGAAAACCTGGCTCGAGACTGGTAGGTCCTTTGTTCGAATCTCGCGAGTGCGGGATCGTGGATGCGCACTGCTGAGGAGTCCCATAATAGAACGAAACGGCCGTTCAGTTCTTCCAGGTTTTCCATGGTGGTCTAGCTCCGATTGAATCATGATTTCAACGGTGAAAAAAACAGTTTTTGTCAGTAACTAGTAAATCACCAATAAATTCAATCATACCTACATAAGTTCAGCCGATGTTAAATTATTTAGCTTCTATTTTTATCACATGAAACTGTTCTATTAGACATTGTTCCTCATAATATTAGTTAATAAATCAATGGATGTTTGAGATAATTGAATATTAAGATTACCGTAAACATCACTTGATCCATTTAGACAATAATAAAGTCAGCAAAATAAAAAACATTACCGAGATGAAACCAGTTGCTCATCATATGAAGATACCGCAGATATAAATTAGAACGATTTGACTTAAAGAGAATTGTGTTATACATTTGAATTAAAATAACAACATTACGCTAAATAGAAAGTTTTATTCCCTATACATTAGTTTTATTAATGGATGAAAAATAACTGACGACTAAAAAAAATGCCGAATATATTAACGAATAATAATAAAAATGTAAAGCATTACAATTTTCCAACTTTCTCGAATGTTTAATTAGAAGAAGAAGAAGAAGAGAACAAAAAAGGATAAATAAGGCGGTAATTTATCTGAAATAAATATTTTGTGTACATTCCAAACCAAATTGTATAATGAAAGTGTGTACAAACCGTATTGTATAAATATAATTTCTACTTGAAAGTATGTACTTTACAATCGAAACATTTTTTTTATACTAAGGTGTTCATACAAAGTATTATTCTTAACCTTTATTCATTCATATTAGGGATGAAGGAACATTCTGAAATATTCCATTAACTTAATACAATAAATAGATAAATTACTGTTTTTTAATTGGTAACAAACAAGAATGAATGATTATGGATGAAAGTTTGAAAACAAGATTTGTTATATCAATAAAGTTATCTTCTAGAATGAAATGATCTTTTTTTAAAATGTAAATCATATTAAAGTTTCTAGATTATGAATACGCTTAGATTGAAAATTAACCATTCCATTTGAAGTAGGCTATAATCCCTATAATATAATATTACCGAAGATGAAAATAATCATCATTTCTAGTAACTAAGAGTGGAATATTATTCAAATTAACTCAGACTATATTTCTTTCGTTTTCTTAATAGATTTAAAACCTTTATAAAGCTTAAACTTTATCATTATAGATTTCACACGAATGATTTTACTTATATTTTTGTCAGAAGGGAGTTTTGTGGAGAAGTTTAGTAGTTTTGTGTAGTTGAAATCATGAGTCAATTGAAACTAGACCACCACAGAAAACCTGGAAGCACTGGACGGCCGTTTCGTCCTATTATGGGACTCCTCAGCAGTGCGCATCCACGATCCCGCCTGGCGAGACCCAAACCCAGGATCTATCAGTCTCGCGCGCGAGCGCTTAATCACCAGATCACTGAGCGGGCATCCAACGGTGTGAATGTCTAACTTCAACCAATACACGAAGTTGAGCAACCGTTCACCAATGTCTTCAGTGTGTTAATAATTCATGAAGAATAAACCTTTGATAGAATGGTGAACTGAAAAATATATGATCTTACAGATATATCTTTTGTATTGACTAATAAATGAAGATTAATTCAATATTTATAGTCGTCTAAACATCTTCATCATGTTTAAAGACTAATATTTAGACGAAGAATATTCTTTTCGATACATTCTCGTCAGGTTCTACAATTATATATCCAAATTAATAATCCGAAAAAATGACCAGATTAAGGGTAAAGTAGCTCGTTTAAATTTAAAGTATGTGAATTTAAGATAGCTAAAAAAATAGAATAAAATTATTAATATTATATTGACTCATATGGAATTTAGACTTGAATCTACACATGTGTTAATTGAAAATTTTCAGATCCATGATCAGAATAAATATCGGTCAGATTAGATTGAGAAAAATAACAGTGTAATTACAATTCGATCAACTGTTTAGTTGAATATTAGTAAGACATATCAACAATGATAATTTTATTCTATTTGGCTTGACTATCCTAAATTTACATGCTTTAAACGATGTACATTGCCTTTAACCTGGTCATTTTTTCGAATTATTAATTTAGATATATAATTGTAGAACCTGATAAGAATTTATCGAAAAGAATATTCATGTATATATTGGTCTTTGAATATTTATAAATTTAACAAGTATGCATTAGCTTGCAGTCAAAACGTTTATTCTGGTTTTAAGTCAATGTTCAATGGTACACGCTTATCGTGTAAATTGGTTATGAAATCTTGATTTTGCAATTTTTTGCAATTTTTGATTTGCCACTTAAATTTTGACCCAAACCATAGAATAATTAATTGACAAAGTAAGAAAAAAAAGTAATTATAATCTGATAATAATCTTTAATTATATAACAGTTATCTACTCAATTGTTTAAATATTCTGATTTTCATGAAACTATCAATCCGTGTATTACTTCATAGCAATTTTAAAATGAATAAAGTCACTTTACTATAACAAGTTAGTACATTTCATTTTATAGCTCACTGCATTTACTCAAATTAATCAATATCAAATTGCTTATTAACCCATTAACTTTTGATAATTATCATCTTAAAAAAGTAAGATTTTTGGAATATGTTGAGTATACCGTCTCACTGAGCATATAGACAGGTGATATAAAAATAATTAAAGTTTCTTTGAGAACTTAAAATGAAACGTACAAACGTTTTGGA